TATATATATATGCCTTCAGAGAGTAAGTGAAGTCAGCTGAATGGGAAGAACAAGATCCAGGCAATTAACACTTATGCCCTGCTGGGATAATAACTAGCCCAAAGGAGGAAATAGAAGCCACTGACATCAGGACAGGACACGCATGAAGGGTTTCATCCCAAGTCCAACATTCTAAGACTGTAGGCTAAACAGAAGGAAGAAGTGTCAGAACCACACAAAGATCCATGAGTACATCAGGAAGATGGTCACAGCTGGTCATGGGCTTAGTGAATACATCAGGCAACAAAAAGCCAAAAAAGAAGAGAAGCAAGGAGAAGAAGCGTCATGGAAGGATGGGCCCTTGCAGGACATAAACCACCAGCAGAGAGAAGAAATGGCTGATATCAAAAAATGTACCAATGTCTGGACAAAGTGGGACTGAAAAACAGCACAGAGGCAATAATCATGTCAGCACAGGAACAAGTTCTAAGCACAAGATCGATAGAGGCTGGGGTTTACTACACCAAGACCCAGGTGCACATTGTGTGAAGATCCAGCTCAGACAGGATACAGAAGGGTGGAAGATGCTAACAGGCAACCAAGTGGTTAGCATAGTATACAGAAACATCTGTAAAAATGGGAGGTTAAGAATGACTGCGTCCTGTGAGACTTCCAGATACAGACAAACTAATGATGGCTAACCAGCTGGACCAAACCAGGACCCTCAAGCTCCCAGGCCTCTGGTAGAGGACACAAGTTTGAAGGATATGCATGTGTTTGCATGTTTGAGGCAAATCTTATATTTATAAAATAATATTAACACATTGAGTCACAAGAAACAGTTTGAGCTTTAATGGTTGACATTTATTTTCACAGACATGCATACACTCAGAAGTTACCATTGCTATCTTGGTCACGTAAACCTTAAAGTTGCTAAAAATAATTTTTTGTTGTTGTTGTATTTTAAAAATGCGGGTCAAATCACTACGTGTCATGAGTCAGAAACACACAAAAATGTATCACCTCACTGAATAATTCCTGTCAGCTTCATTGGATGTCTTAGCATCTCTTAACTTGTTACTTTGGTTTTACAACCATAGT